CATCCATTGATTTGGTAATCACTTCCATCTCAGAGCTTGTGACTGAATTCGACCGTCTCCACCCCGAACACTGACGTAGCGTTCGTGTCCAATGCGGAGCGCAAGTTCGTCTGCTTGTTTTGCAGGAGTGCAAGCGGTGACGTCACAAAGACGCCGAGCTCCGATTGGCTGTGATTGTAGGATTGTGGGTAGACCTTTAATCAGAGCCAATCAGAGCTGGGCATCTTTCTGACGTCACCGCAACTCCTGCAAAACAAGCAGACGAACTTGCGCCTCGCATAGATTGTCAGAGTGCACGCCGACACTGTAGCGGCTCCGGATAGTTGGTGCGGTAGCTTTTAGTTGACGCCCGATTTCGTGAGGGACTTATTTGGACAGTGAGGGTATCGAGGTCCAAATCAATAAATGCTTTTTCTTTGTTCCGTTGCTGAAAAAACAAAACAAATAAAAACAGCATATTTGGGGATATAATTTCAGACGCTGCCATTATATAACCTGACTCGACACGATGTAGGGGTCTGCTCTGGAGAAAACCCTGCGCCATGTTGGTATAAGCGTGAAAGATGTGACGTGAGAGTACGGATGACGTGAGAGCGGTTGCAGTGACCGTTAGGTAGAGATCGATCCCCATTACGAATTCACTCTTAAAAAGAGCGACCGATAGAGGCGCCACTTTTATTCTCTTCATAGTCTTGGCTTGGTTCCTTTTACCATATGGCATTTACGGAGTAGTCTAACGTTTTATTACAAAATACAGTCCTAAGAAGAACGAACCGTTAGAATAGATCACAAGAGCTGCCGCCTTACCACTAAGAAACCGAAATTTCTCGCCATGGAACGCTGCGCTTGCAGAGTGTGTTCACACCCTGATTGTTGAGAAATGCTCTTCTATATTTATTAAAAACTTCCAAGAGTACTTCAGTGTTCAATACTTCTTCGGTACATCAATATTCAACGGACCTCTGCTTATGAAACTGTTACGTTCAACCTTATGTTGTCAGTGAACATTCATAAAATGAGGCTGCAGAAAATACATGAAAGAAGGGCGTGCTGCGCGTCTGTCTCCGGTCCGCTCCAAGCATCGAGTGTCCCGTGTTCTCACGAGCATGCATCCCCCATGGAGCACGTCCTCGGTGCCCGGCGCCAGCGGATGCTATTCTTGCATCATACGGCGAAACAACCCTTGAACGTCTCCACCCCCGGGCCGCTGTGCGCGCTCTTCCGTTCTCCGCGTTCCTGGGATGCGCGTTGGCGTATGGCCAACACAGACACATCACTCACAGACACAGCAGAAACGATGCTGTGTCTGTGAAACTGAATCACTCGATTCTGTTTCGTAGTGGTCGGCCCTCACAAAGATGGAGACTGCTATGTTAAAAGGAATTGGAGGAAAATAGAAAATGCTGCTAGGAAACTTCGGAACTGCGACCGTTTGGCCAAGATTCATATGCCATCATGTTATTTATTTATTTATTGTACTTTTCCGGTGCCCCTAAACAGCCCATAGGCCTACATAAGGGTGCACCGTTGACACCTACATGCAGTTTTGCATAAAAAAGATGCACGCAAACGCATACATAATTTGAACAAACAAAAACGTGAAATATAAATGTAAATGAGAAAAGTGGATAAAGTTGAAAACAACACTGTTTGCCAAAAAGACTGATACAAGAGGGCGTCACATTATAAAAGCACTAGCAGAGACCGCAAACTAAAACTTTCCCGCAAAAAGATGTCTACTTCGAGCGTGTTTGCGACATTTGACCTGTTAAAATTATACTGGATACGCTCCATGGGTCTTAAGCTTTTTGGATCAGAGGAACCGAAAACACGATGGGAGCGAAGAGACCTGCCAGGTACAGCAATGAGTACGGATGAGGTTAGCTTGGGGCAATCTATGAAACCGTGAAGACATTTGTGTAAAAATAAAAAGTCTCGTGCCTGCCTCCTTTCGGAGAGGCAATGCAGGTTTAAAATCTTCAACAATTGCTCATGGCTGAAATAAATTCGCCTGTTAAAATAACGATCGTAAAGTAGTCGAACAAACTTCTTCTGTACATTTTCAAGTTCATTCGAGTTTGTCTGGTTTAAACGATTCCAAACAACGCTAGAGAAATCCAGTTTAGACAGGATGAGGGATCGGCACAAATGCAAAACGCAAGAATATCCTCTAAAGTTTCGAGTCATTCTGGTAATTGCGCCCAAAGTACGGTAACATGTATTGCTCAAGTATGCCACATGATCAGAGAATTTAAATTCACTGTCCAAGAAAACTCCTAGATCACGTACAACTGAGACGCGCTCAATCGAGCACTTGTTCAAAGTGTAGTCAAAGGTGTTAAAGAAATGTTTTCTCGAAAAAGATATGACTTTTGTTTTAGCAGGGTTGAGAACCAACTTGTTGTCCTTGCACCAGTCTGCCAATGCTGTAATATCTTGCTGTAGTTTATTGCACTCAGAAATGTGCACAATAGCTCGGAAAAGCTTAACGTCATCGGCAAATTGTAACATTTCCGAGTGATTTATGCATGAGCAAATATCGTTCACGAAGATGTTGAAAAGCAGAGGCGATAGGCTAGAACCCTGCGGGACTCCCGATTTGGAGAGGTACGCGGTTGATTGTGCACCACCGTATGAAACAGAATTCCATCTGTCATGCAGATAGCTCTGAATCCATTCGCAAAGTGGTAAGGAGATACCATAGGACGCAAGTTTCTTAACTAGCAGTGAATGGCTCACTAGGTCAAATGCTTTTTTAAAATCAAAGTAAATTGCGTCGACCTGCTGCTTCGACCCTAGTTTGGCACCCACAAATTCCATAAACGCTATTAAGTTTGTTTCCACACAACGATTTGGCATAAAACCATGTTGTTGCACGTTTATACGTCTGGAAAAAAAATGCATGATATGACAATGCATGGTCTTTTCGAACACCTTGGCAAACGAACAGATCAGTGAAATTGGACGATAATTAGTGACAGTTAGTGCCGACCCATCTTTGAATATTGGCACAACTAGAGAGTACTTCCATGCAGTTGGAAAAAGCCTATCTTTCAACGACCGATTAAATACAAAAGTTAAAATCGGAGCTAACACGTCACCGCACCCTTTCACTATAAACAAAGGAATTCCGTCGGCTCCAGTCGATTTCTTAGGTGGTAACGCCCGAATCGCCGCAAAAACGTCGTCAATGCTGAGCTCGGGAATTGATAAGTATGCGTTTTCCTGGTCTGGCAGTGTGCAAGTTTGAGACGTATTTCCCGTGGAATCAAAAACACCAGAAAAGAAATCTGCAAACGCTTGACAGACGTCGCTCGGACTGCTGATATGTTCCGAACCGTTAGATAGTGTTATCTTCTGTGCCGTTTTCTTTTTATTCGAGAAGTTCCTGGTATACTTCCAAAGACTTTGCGGGTTTTGCTTTAGGCTTGATTCAACACTTTGAGTGTGGCTTCGGAGGTCCCGACGATAAAGACGCTTCGCTAAAGCTCGCTCCGACTTGAACTTTTCGTACCAGAACAGATTATTAGTCAGCTTGTAATGTCTGTGATAACGTAGCTTTTTCCTCCTTTTATGTTTCAATTCGTGGGAAAACCAAAAAGGGTAGTGATTTGTGACACCATGTACGTAAGCCGGAATGAACATCTTCATAGCTGATGTCACTAGGTCTCTAAGCATTAGTACTTGTTTATCTACGTCATCTTTACCTGATGTAATGACTGACCAATCTGTGTTCGCAAGAAACTCGTAAAGCTCCAGGTAATTCCCCTTTGCATAAGAAAAAGCAGTCGCTTGCGGACATGCTGTACCTTGGTTATCAGCTATACTCAAATCTACTTCAAACGGGACATGCCAGGTGTCAACAGGGACAAGTGGGGCGCTAGCTTGTTGTAGTACACATTCGTTATCATTTGTAAGGAACAAATCCAACACGTTGCCTTTGTAGTTCACAAGAAAATTTTTTTTGGTATAGTTCCAAGTAGTTCACGAGCTGAGATAAATCATTCGCTTTTCTTCGCACCTCTGAGTTGGACGAGTTTATGATACCAGTGTCCCAATTCACACCAGGCAGGTTAAAATCGCCCGTAATAAAAACACGGTATTTTGCGAAGTCTATCATGCTCAGGTTAAATTCCCGTTCTTAACAACAGTTTCATACGATCAAACATAATCGACTACCACCCCAAAAAACAAGTTGCTTGAGAACAAGTTATACTGCGGAAGTTTGTCCGAAGTTGAAGTAAATGGACCTTTTCCGAGAAGCGTTCTGCGCACGCGCGAGCGCCCGATGCCAAGCGGTGGAAATCGGCACGAAAACATCGAGGAAATTCGGAATGAGGCTGTAAATCGACGAGTAGAACACGTAATTGCAGCATATATATAATTGTGTTACACAAAAAAAGAAAGTGGACGGAAAGAAAAACACGACGTTTGGGTGGACGCTACGGATTACCCTCTTTAAAGTCGCGTTGGGCACGCGACGCTGCTCAGAGAGCGAAGCAACTGGTAGCGTAGCTCTCATTATCGATTGGTAGCGCAGGTAGGTCACTCCCTCGATTTTTAGTTCGTGCAGCCACCGCCTGGTGCCGTCGGTATTTGGAAAAGGTCCATCTATAAGTTGTCGCCGGACGAAACAAAAATGGATCGGTACACTTGTCGTCCATGCGGAACTATGGGTTCCAAAGCCGCGCAGTCACTCTGCCCATATATCCTACAGGGAGACACGGAGTTTCTGCGCGGACATGATGACAGGAGTGTCCGTGGACACGAATCAAGAATGTTCGATGCATGTTTAAACAATTGTACGCTTCCAACACGTCTGCAAGCAGGTTATGTCGGATCAATGTAAAGGACCGTCACACAAGGAAGAAACACGTCTCGGTCCATCGTTGCCGACTGTCTTTTTTTTTTTTTTTTTGTGATGCATTTGCGTTGTCACTCGCGGCCTAAGGGATTTGGAAATGGCTCGCCGCGACAGTTATTTCGAGACAAGAACTCACCGAACACGGAGGCAGTCGAAGGCTCATCCAGCAACATGACCAGGAACACCGCTAAGACGGAGAGTCTTAGCGTCCCTGACGTTGACGAGAACACCATGACAGTCGGAAGGCCTTCTTTGTTTGCAAAAATGTCTCTCACACAAAAGTCGCCGTCTCCCCGCACACACACTCTCTCGACTGATTCGACGGACGCGTCGAGCTCTTCTCTCTGACACGAGGAAAAGGCGGCCCGGTTTATACGCCGAAAGCGGAGAGCGGTTTTTTTGTTCGCGCTCTCCCGAAACTTCTTCCCTCTCTTTCTCGAAGCCACAATCTCTGTCCTTCTCTTTCTCTCTCTTTACTCACACTCTCTGCCTCCCCTTTCACCTCTTGTTTTCTCCCTTTGCCTCGTGTTCTGCGCCCGCCGGTTATTGCGACTCTTTTCATCCTCCTCCGCATGGGCGCTGCCATCTTGGAATCACGTGACGCGGCAGCCATTAGGTTGCTTCAAGTTGCTGCTCCGCTCTCCCCACTGAGCCTTGGCGGATGCGTTGTAATCGTGTTTTTCGTCGCGTTTCGCCGCGCTTTCTTGTCTGACTTCGGAAACTGTAGCCCGATACGTCTACTCGACGACTAAGACATCACGAGGGTTCAAAGGTCCTTATGACAATTAAGGTTGCTTTACTAATAGTGGTGGAACATTTTCAGTAAGAAGCGCGTATATTTATATCGTGTATTTAGGATCGGAAGGCGTCAAGAATAGTCAGCGCAAGGAGACTATCTGTATTTCCTGAAAGTATCGTTCTTTGTATTTAGAATATATCGAAATCTGTTTCTTTTGATTATCTGACGAAACTCGCGGCGGAGATAGACAACGAACGTTTAACTTGTGTTTTATCTGAGGCTAGAAGTAATGGTACGTCAACATCAGGCGATTTGTTTGTTCCTTATATCACTCCTACATCTGTATGAGGTTCCCATTCCTTTTTTGCGACGTAGACATTCGGTTGGTCGGTTTGCTTATAAAGATTAAGAAATTGTATACCGTGCTCGCTCCCATTTCGACAGTCATTTAAGTGATTTATTGATTATATTTAGATAACCAGTTGAGACTTCCCGCGTAAGAAACTGCAACGACAATAGTAGCGAGTTTTGGAATAGCGTGCACAAAGATATAAAGTCGTTTCTATTTGCTAATTGAAAACGTGTTTTGGGTTCGGGATATGCGTAATAATTTCGACGCTTTTTTTGCGTACGCTGTTTTACTTTTTGCCAGTATCTAAAATCCGCAATATTTAACGCAAAGAAAAAAAGAGAAGCCGTTTGCATAACAATTACTTGAGTCCAGGATTGTCGATGGCGAATAGAGCTTTACTTTTGGTGGCTGGCGACGCCGAAATTTACGAAGCGAATCTGTTCAAACAAAGAAATATTTGTTCACACAGGTCTGTGAAGTGTTGCCTAGCGCTACAATTTAGCCAAACTTTCCCAGGTATTTCTCCTTCTGCATCCTTTAATTTTATTTGACCAATTTTACGAAAGACAAATGTCAGATTTAACTTGACGGGCCTGTGACATATCATATCTTGAGTAAGCAACTGTTAATATAAAATTAATTTATTTCCAAGGATCACTTTCGCGAAATGCTGCTTATGAGTACTTTCGCAGGGTTGTTAATATAAGAAACTTCCTACTCGGCCTGTCAAAACATGCTTAAGTACTGAATTTTTTTTTTTAAGAGGCCGAGACCAATCTTTTAGTTACATCAATTATCTGCGTCATTACATGATACGTTTTTAGTTTGCAAAGTTCTCTAAAGGTTGGGTGCCCACAAAAACCAAACAGTGAGTAGTAAACTCGCGATTTCATCTGTTCTGGCTGATTCAGCAGATTGCTAATCAAGCTGTCGATATGCTTCTTCATATTCACATGTTAGTCTCTTCATTAGTTTCTTTTTCTGGAAACTGGTGGTCATCGGGCACGGCCGTAGACGATGGTAATCTTCCCTGTACATCAGTCAGGAGTTTCGCAACCGACCATAATCAGATACATCAAAAGAGTTCGTAAAAAAAAGCCCGCGATTTAGGCTCAAATACACCTCGTCGTCCTCAAAGTGGCTCAATACCACTGTTTCATTGGTTGTGTGCTACAAGAAAATAATCGTATCACAAAATTACGCAAAAAGAACGTAAAACAGCACCATAGCCGCGTTCACGTTGAAACCGAAACCAACCAAATTGAAGCAACCTAATGGCACCGAGTGCATCAGCGCCCTCTATCCGCCGGTGAGGCAACTACTAAAATGAAAAGGTCTATATTAAGCGGCCTTTCCGTTTGTGTGTACGCGACCGATCCTTGGATCAAAATAAACCCAAGTTCGTTACGGCAATTCGTATGCACTGACACCCTGTCTACAAACAAGTCCGCGTTCTACACACCGCGTCTGCGTCCAAACCGGATTGCGTGACGCGTCCGCGCATGCGCAGCTCGCCGTTGTTCTAGGCGTCACCGAAACTCCTGCGCGAGACGAGAAGCAGACGACTTGCTCTCCGTATAGCATAACCCAGCTGTCGTGGCCCCTGGGTGCAATCCCCACCCCTGCCCGTTTTCATCTGGATGAGCGTCGTACCGGTGTGCGGGCGTGTATCAGTGTACCGCGTGGTGCACGTTAAAGAAGCCAGGCTAGCAGTGGTATACTGCACTGGCCACATTTGCAAGCTTCCCGCCGTCTAAACAAACACACAATGCAATATGGAAATTAGTCGGCCCTAAAGTAACTGGATCGTAGGAAAATAGCGCCAAGCTCCCCGTTTGGTCGCCATTTTGGCTCATGAAATGAGCAATTTCTCCTTGACCTCTCCATTCTTGGTGAGCCGATCTAAATTCGCTGGTGACGGGTAGCTTTACAGAAATGTTTCTGGTATAGCGAAAGTTTGCTGTCCTCACACCGGAGAAACAAGCGGACATCTTCGTACCACCGGTGCTTGGAGGCATTTAAAAATAAGTTTCCTGTTTTAAAATACTCAACACGAACAATATAACTGTAAGAGATCCATGGAGGTGGACATGATTGACAGTTTGATTGCATTCACAGTGCCAAAGACGCTTATATTGACGAGGAACGCCTTCAGTGCGATGATGCTAAATGGTGACCTTGGTGCGACTGGATTAGAACGACCCTCTCGAAGCTTCGAAGATGTGAAGGGGCCGAAATGGCGATTGCCATATCAATGGAGACCTTGCCTTGCGAGGTTTTGGTATTTTCTGTGTTAGTATTGGTTTGTGTTCGGCTAGCAGGCAGGGATGGCAATGGCGCGGCTTTCTCAAGATCCAGTGACTCTAGTCAGCTCTAGGGTGCCTCGATGTTCTTCTGCTTATGGTGATGGCATTCTTTGTAGTACCGGATACCGACCGCACGCGCTCTCCCAAAAGATACAAAGAAATAGCCGATAACAAAATACCGCCGTAGCACTGTCAATCCCAAGAGGTCGTGACGGCAGACGCGAAGGAAAGAAAAGCATCGGGAACAAAAGAGTCAGATGTTACCACCCTAAGCGAAGCGCACATGAAGGCACCCTAGTCAGCCATAGTGGGTGTCTAATGCCTCCGCTGTACACGAGGCATTTAGACATTGCAGTACCACTGCTGTCTGAGGTCCTTAAAGGGGTCATGAAACGATATCGGGTTGGAATGATCATGACTTTGCAGAGGAGTACTGGCCCTAGTCTGGCCCAAGTATACTCGCACAGATCGCTACTGATTCAGAAGATTCTTTACCGCGGTGAAATTGCGAGGATCAAAGGGGAATATTCCTTTCAGTCTTGCGTTCGCAAAGCTTGGTGACGTATACTTGTGGTATCGAAACCAGCCGCCTGACGACAGTCGAGCTCGGCTCATGGATTGGACACGAGAACTGCGTGAGCACTCGACTTCGACTCGTAACTATCAATGCCTCGGCGGACACTCGGGTATAGTGGCTCGTCGTGTCGAACCACTGCGGTGATGAGAATAGCCCAACTCTAACAATACCTGGAGCTCAGCACGCGTTTTCTACTTTGGCAACTCCAGCGCTTGGCTTTGATTAACGTTGGCGGCATATACATAAACAAATTAGGTTGAGGTAGATAAATCAATTAAAAATATTATGCCTCTATCGGTACCGCATGGGAAGCCGATATAGGGGTATAACTCGGAGCCAGAACAGGCGGCCACGTGGCCGCTTGTTCTGGCTCCGAGTAGAGGGGAAGAACGATGCTCATATTTCTCGAATATTTTTGTGGTGACTGCCGTCCTCTAGAAAGAAAAACTAAGGAAGTTCATTAAGTTATTAACGTAAGAGAGTGATTCTGAGTAGCTTTTAGTGAAAGTAGAAAAATAGTTTCATAGCTCTTTTAAAGTCTATCACGAAGGGAGGGGAGGGGGGGGGGGGGGATCGGTGGCCGAGCGGGCTAGCGTACATTAGCTCGGAGCACGTGGAGTGAAAGCTCTCTCTGCAGAACCCAGGAATCCTGGGCTCAGTCCCCACCCTTGCCCGTTTCGAGCTCAAGGAGCAACGTACCGGCGTCCGGTCGTGTATCACTACTGCGTCGTGCACGGGTTGTACTGCACTGGTTAAACTTCTCATCTACAGCTGGGAGACAAGTCGCCCGTTGACGCAGACTGAGTTCTAGGCTGTATAAACATACACACAACCCAATGATTTTTATATGTATCACGCATGCACGTCGCTACAGTGTATTGCTGTACCGATCTGTATACCGACATGTAAGTGTGTCAGTACACCGATGTGTACTGACGTGTAAATGTATATACAGAGCGGTGAGTCAGGTTGTTTTTAATGGCGTCTGATGTATCCCCTGCAGGGGAAAATCTGGCTAGCACAGTCCCACTGCCAACCTATGATGCTTGAGTGACATCACGCGGTTGTAGTATGTGAAATCTTGCTAGTTTTATACAGTAAAGTGTTTTACACGTTTAGCGAGACATGTCGGTTTCTCACACCAATCAAGGGTGCTAAGAACACCCATTAGGTTGTTCCAGGTGCGCACTTGTGGTTTTATCTGCTACTCTTTTCATGCACCAGCCGTTTACATGTAACAAGCACCACACGTGCAGACACCGCGAAGCACTCACAACTTCGGGAGTTAAGACTTGTGACCAGCTGCTTATACCGACAACTGCAAGAATTGTTTTTCGCTTTTTTGCTAAAATGTTTTTTTTTTTACGTTATTAGACTTATATATTTACGTAATTAATCAGGTTTGTGGACTCTACCTTCTAATGAAACGCATTGGTGGTTTGATACGGGGGAAATGATTGTACGCAGTCACTGATATAACCTAAATGAAAGGGTGCGGGAAGCCAGATTCACATGGCGCTTGCCGACTTGGCGCGCGGCACTATTATGATGTTTGCGATTTCGCAGATGCGACGTTGGGTAGCACGGATTCCGCTGCGTTTCTTTCTTTC